TACAATATTTTAAATTCTTTTAAGCCTTTTCCAAAAAAAAAAAACAATAGCAAAAATTTTCATTTAATTTTATACATCATGAATTTAAAAAAAATAGCAACAAATATATAAAAGTATTTTGCAAAAGGTTTAGGCAAAGCTCATTTTGTAATTTTATATTTTGTAATTAAGTAAAAAAAAAATAAATATCAAAACATTAAGTAACAATTCTTTCCTTTTCTGTATTTTTGATTATTTTTTAATTGTATAAAAAATTTTATAGTTTGACCTGTATTTCTCTAATCGAGGTTAACTTTTAATTGCTATTACAATCACTTTTAATTCTCAGTTTTTATCTCAGTTTTATAAAATAAAATTATCTTTAATTTGAATAAAATCGAATATATATAATAAGTTGTATAAACTGATATTTTAAATGAATTAACATGAAAAATTGAATTTAAATTTTGATTATAAGGGACAGATTTTTATTTTTCAGCTTTAAATTTATTATTGTATTTGCAGGTTTACAAAATTACCTCAATCAGCTTTCTTATAGCTTTATAATAACCCTACATTAAGTAATAACTTTACTTTCCTTTTGATAAAATCATAACATGTTTTTCAAAAACACAGTGTTTTATGCACCCATAAAACCGGACTTACTATAATTCGATCCCATCAGTACATTGACTGCCTGCGTGAGTGAAATGAACGCGCTTAACTCATGATAAGAGTTCAATTTTATTGGTAATTCTTATCAAGTTTTTGGAATAAGTTGATAACTTATTGCTTTTATTACGGATAGGAAATCTTTTGTCTTTCTTTTAATTTTAATTTTGATCGAATTTCAATATCCATAAATATACTCTTTGCAGTCAGAATATTGTCAATGTCTGGCTTTATTACTTTAAGCAGGAAAAGATGTTAGTTTAAGATAGGTTATACCGGTAATACTAAGGGATTCATTTAGGCTTATAGGCCCATTGTGTTGCCGAATAATTTAAAACCCAAGGGTTAGAACCATTTAGAACCTTTGGCAAAGCCTATAATGCTAATCAGAGGGAGATCTAGCCGTTCGCCAAGATTCTCAAAAAATGCCCCAAATTGTTAAGGTGGCACATGGAAGGCACTTTTATCGTCCTCCCCACAACTGCGACAGCTATGGTTGAAAGGGAGATTTAGTCATTTAGAAATTTAGCATGGTTTCCTATAATACAATGACCTGTAAGTAAATCTACTACAAGGTTGATATCTTTACGGGGCAACTTAATGAGAGAGCTTGATTTTTTTTTATTGGAGGAAAAGATGCTAGATAAATGTGATTTTCACGTCATTTATTGTAGATTGTCAAAATAAAACACTGTGAATTGGTGAATACCTTTGTTGTAATAATTAATAATTAATGAAGCATAAGAAATGAACAGTAACGAAACACAAAAATAAAATTTAATATTTTATAATATAATAGAATTTTAAAAATATTTTAATATTCTGAATATTGCCATATATTAATGAAATTTGAAAATATACGTATATTTAATACTAATAATGTTTAGAAAATTCTTGGAATGCAATTTTAAAAAAATAAAATTTGTTGTTGTTGTATTTTCCTACTACTTTTACCCTTAGCTGTTAAAAACTAGAACCTATATCATATTTACCTTTAAGTGAATTTAATTAAAACTAATATTACTTCATGCGAACAATATTTTAAAAAATATTTTATTTATAAATTTCATACAACTAATTATAATTAAAACATTTTATTGCTGTAATTTGAGTGTTTTTGATATAATATTCAATTTAATTTATTAATGTTAAACAATTGTCATTAAAATAGTATTAATTTTTATTATGGTTTTTCACACTTTAAAAAATTTACAAGTGTCAGAATAAAAATTCCTTAAATTATTCATTAGAAAATTTGTCTTTATAAGTTGTATTAATTTTCTAATGAACAATTTTTAATCAGTATTTGATTAACACATTTTTTAGTGATACTAAATTAGTGCCAATATTAAATTAAATGAATTCAAATTAATCTATAGTTATAACATGTGAATATGTTAAATATATATGCAATATATTCTACATATATACATCTCAAATAATTTGAAATCAATAAATAAGTGCTTCGACAAAGCGTGAGAACAAGATTTGCGGTGAGGTCAAATTACAACTTGTTTTAATATTGTTTGCATATAATTAAAACTATTTATGGCATCAAAAAATGAAATAGTATTTACAAAATATAATAAAACTTTTGTTATAGCGTAGTGCAATAAAATTTTCAACATGATTTACTATACTAATTAAGGCAGACATTGAGAATATCTTTATTATTTATAATACTAAATATCTTTATACAAAGTAAATTTACTTGTTTGAAAATATTTTGTTTCAGTGAAATATGATTGGAAGAAAAAACAGTTCTAATATAAAATAAATTTAATTCGTAACACTTACAAAGCAAACTTAACAACAATTAATTTGCGCACTAAGTTAATAATCAACTTCAAAATTTATATTAAAATAGCAGCTAAACTAAAAATTAACAGCTCTAAAATTAAGAAAATTAAGAAAAACAGCATACAGCATTCTATAGGTTAGGTTAGGTTGGAGTGGCGGCCTTGTATCCCAAAAAGCCCACAGGAATGGCGTTGGTATGTACATAGATTTAGATCAGTATACATTCAACACTGAAGGAAGTTAACGACTCCCCCATTAGGTAAAGGAAACGCAACCTGACAGTTCTACAAACTTGGCTAGGTCCCTAACATTACAGAATGACAGCTCAGTCAGATCGGTGAGAAAAGAGGATCTGAAGATTTTTAATATTCTTCTAGCTAAGGAAGGACACTGACATATGAGATGGAGCATGGTTTCCTCCTCATTCTCAGAGCCACAGCCTCGTCAAAAATTATTAAAGGGAAGACCCAGTCTTATAGCATGCCTCATAACAGCATTATATAGAAATAAGAAATTTTATAAAAAATTTATTCTTATTCCAATGAAAGATGTCCAATATTGTGAGAATTTGTCTGTTGAAAAAACTACTGGGCTATAATTTATTGGCATCTGCATCATATGGGAAAAGTCTGGCATAATATAATTGTTTTATATAGAGATTATACAAATTATTATCCAAATGGGAAGATATATTTTAATAAATCTTATAGATATATAACTTAAGTATTATTAATGCTCGAGGTGATCTTCTATCGCTTTATAGAAATTGACCACAAAGTAGGAGCCCTTTTTGCTAAGTAAACTTTAAAAAAATGGAAAATCTACAGTAGCATTACACTATATTCCTAACTACACTATAGGAATATATCTGATAATCAATAAGCTACAACACATATTTTCAAAAATTCATGTTGAGCGAGTATGAAGGTAGTTTAAATATTAAATGGGGTAATGATGGAATACAATGTATAAGATACTAGGGTTTTATTAGAGATCAGCAGTGCGACTTTGATAGATATTTTATGCTAATAAGTAAATAATACAAAACAGGAAAATATGTATTATTATAAAGAAGTAGTATTTATATACAGGAACTTTCTGATAAATGAATTTAATAAGGCTCAACAATCCATCGACGGTACATGTTGTGTTATGCTCTTTCTTTATTTACTTATTTTGTAGCGTATATTATTTAAAATTTTTGGTTAAGTAATCATAAAAGAGATTTTTCAAGTAAAACAAAATATTGATAAATATTTTATTATTAAATAAAATTTTATAGATAGATTGTTTCATAGATTGTCGGCTGGGTTGTCCTTCAGTGTGTCGGTATAAGTCATTTAGAAGGCTTCTATTAAACATAAACGCTTTGTATTAATCAAAAAATGTATTTCTATGAAAAGAGTTAAAAATCATGATGGTAATTTAGATAAATAGGATGATTGGTTGATTTTACCGACACATGTAGTTGCCAATAGATAACTTCATTATAAATTCCAAAAACTAAAAAGTCATATTCACATTTTGATAGCCGCAAAACGTTCGAATGTTGAGTAAAAATAGATAATTTTATGTTTTTGAGATGTGCAATTTCAACTTTATGAATTTCAATTATAATTTTTGCTGGTCTTTAATAAATTCACGCTTAGTTTTGATGAAAACACCAACGTTCAAGAATTTCGGTGAGTAAAACTGACAATCATCATTTATGTCCCCATAACCTTTTTAAAAATGTGGTACCCACATTAACTCTGTGACATGATAAATAACCGTCAACATATAATATATATAAATACTTGGGTTGTGAATTAAAATATTTTTGTAAAACGTTTTGCTTAGTTTAAAACAAACTTATTACGAGTATTAGTTTTGCACCCTCATTTAAAATTAATTTTTTTTTATAGTAATTTTGGTCCTATAACATAAACATACTATCATTTTAAATCGAATAAATCCGCTTCTATTCACAGAAATGTTATTTTAATCGTAAATTCTTACTTACTTAGTTGTCGATTACAGACGTGAGTCGTGCTCGGCCGCGTCGAGTAGCTCCACTGGCCAGCCCGATCACTGGCTTGTTTTTCTAGCCAGTTGGTAGTACCGAGCGCCTACAAATCGTTGATCACTTGGTCCTTCCACTGAAAATGTGGACATGATCAAGCTAGCAAAGCCGATGAATTTTTATTTGAATTGTAGTGAATTGACATTAACTATGTTAATACCGCGATATAGCTACACAGCTCATCGTTTCATCTAATTCGATACTCGTTGCCAACGCGTAAGGGACTATAGACCTTGAATAGAATCGTCAATAGATGGGTTTATTAAAAGTATCTATTTTTAAAAATCTTTAACTTTGTGGTGGAATAAAAATATAAATTTCATTTCGAAGAGAATAACATAAGCATAAGCACTCGTTTTATTTCTAGAACAGTATCTCGCATTTTTTTTTTGCGGTTAAGGTCCACTATTGTATAATCAAATTACAATAGTTCAATAGTAAATGATTTCACACTACATTTAATTTTTTTTTTTTTTTGACATTTTAGAACATATTGGAAAAATTCAATCCCGGCGCTCGTCAACTAATCACTGCGGGGAAGGGCTACTTAAAGGCTTTACATGGTAAGCAAGTACAACTTTTTCACAACGTACTTTGAAAATCCATTAAAAATATAATATAAAATATTTAATGTTTAAGTTGCAAAATATATTTATGTTAAACAATATAAAAATAATTATTTTCATTGTAATTTAATGAAATTGTTTTTTCTTTTCGCTTTATAGGTGCTGCCTCAGCTTCGCGTTTATTTAATGATGCATTAGCAAAAATTGCAATGAATGCGCAACAAACTGGAACCGGTGATATTGGTAAAGTATCTCAGTAGATTTATAAATACTTTTAATTGTTATAGTAGCAGGTTGTAAATATTATATCTATTTAACATATTTTTTAATTTTTATTAGGCGCGGCATTGCTAAACGTAGTTAGTGTCTATAAAGAAATACAAGAACAACAAATGAATATTGTAAGTTGATATTAGCCGCGAGGCAACACTTTGAAATACTTTGTAAAAGATATTTAATATTTATTACTTATTTTTAAAGTTAAAAGCATTTTATGTGGATTTATTAGTGCCATTAGAAACAAATCTCGAAAAAGATACAAAAGTTGTGCAACATGAACAGAAAAAATTCTTGCAACAACACAAAGTACGCATGGAAAGTTATCAGAAAGCAGTCTCAACTATGAAAAAACAACGCAAGAAGAAAGCCAGTCCTGAAAATACTGAAAAGGAATTGAGGGTGAGAATCTAAGGATTATATTCTAGAAAGTTTGTTTCAAAAAAAAAAAAAAAACAAATTTATGAACAACTATATTTAATAAGTATTTATATATATATAACACATGACTGCACTTCACAAGCGCCTTTCTGTGTAGTCAGTTCTCATTTACTTTGAAAGTAATAGTCACTTTCGTGTTCACGTACTTTTTTATATATTTCATTATTGTTTAGTTTAAACTTTAACCTTTAAAAATAATTCAATAGCAATACAAATTATTTTTTTTTCTTTTTAGAGTTTGCAAATTTTGGAAGATCAAAAGAAAAAACTTGATGCTTTTTGTGAGCAAAGCTACAAAAATGTAAGTTTGTTGCTTAAGTCTCTTGCTTTATGGTTTCCATAATGAGTTTGTTACTTAAGTCTTTTTTTATTTTCATGTGTTATATACCCTTTATTAAGCTTCATAAAATAAGTCTGTTATTTGAGGCTCATGTACCCTTATCGTGTTTTTAATGGATTTCATGTTCTATCTGTTGTAGGCCATGACACAAGAACGACGTCGTTATGGTTTTGTCTTGGAACGTCAGTGTTCCATTGCGAAACATTGGATGGCTTATCATAATACCGGCAAAAGCGTAATCGATAATAATTTGGAAAATTGGCAAGAAATTGCAGCATCGCGTGAGGTTATACCTACTTTGGCATATGAGACTAATCTCAACGGACATAAACGTATTGTAAGTGTTTAGTATTGTAATGGTTTTTGAATAAAAAAAAAACATACGAATATTTTATCAATTTTTATAACTAGGAACGCATCAGAGATGCTGATGAAAACCATAGTCATAGCCATAACGCTTCACAGCTAAAGAAAGCACGTAGTGTTGATGCACCATACGGTGATATGCGCACTTTACATGAAACCAGTAATAATTACACACAAAATTCATTACCACGTGCCAAATCAGATTTTAATTTGACAGCTACAACCACATCATGTAAGTTCATATTAGTTATCTGCCAATAGCTATTATAAAATTTATAAAATAATATTCACGTTTGATTTTAGCAAACGATCATACTGATCACACACATTGGGATCAACGTCCTGTAGTCAAGGCACTCTATGCCTACATGCCATCCGGTGAAAATCAATTACCTTTCGATGAAGGTGATAAGATTGCTTTGGTTGGTAGTAAAGCTAAAGGTTGGCAATTTGGTGAAAATTTGCGTACCCAAATGTTTGGTTGGTTTCCCATTGCCTACACAAATGCTGAAGGCAATGAGAAGAATAAACTTGAACATGAACGCAACGAACGCAACGATCGTTACGAGAATATGCATTTCGAGCATAATAATGGCGGCATGCGTAATTATAGAAATCAGTATATGTCGGAGACCCATATGGATACAACCATGGAAAGTGATTCGACCTATAGAAGACGCAATAATAGCGCTGAGGAGTCATCACCGACTAGAATGTTTGGTGATACTATTAATTTCCGTAATCAAAAGAAGGTAATATTATGGGTGAAGCAGATGTTTGGATTAGTTTTGAGTAGTATATCGTAGAGCATTCAGTAGCTTTCAAGTTTTGAAATTAGCAATTTAATAAAGAAATTTATAAAAATATTTTTGAATGTGTTAAAAGGGGTATTCAGACCAGCTCCGATCTTTGGTAAAATGATAAACTATATAATGTATAATGTTTTAAAAATATTTATGAATGTGTAAATTCAGATCAACTTCGATGTTTAGTGAAATGATAAACCATATAATATAAAATTTTTCAAAAATATTTATAAATTTGTAAATTGAGATCAACTTTGATGTTTGGTAAAATGATAAACCATATAAGTTTGAAAGAAAATTACCTGACTTTGTTTTTAGTGATGTTAGCAGTAGTAATTTATTGTAAACAGAAACAAAAAATAAAACCGGATGATTGTTAATATCAGATACATTGTCCAGACCAGATGCGACGCAGAAACAAATACATACATTCATAGTTGATTTCAACAAAAATAAAAATACACTTATAATGTTGAACTTAATTTTATTAATTTATCAATTTTAGTTCATTTATTTGGCAAATCATAAAAATAAAATAATGTGGTTTTACCAGTGTACCAAAAGAAAATTTTCGTAATTGTTGTAGATTAAATACTAGCGCGGGCCGCATAGCGCGACAGCCCTAAGCTATATTATATATTATATTTTATTATATTTATATTATATATTATTTATTTGTCATTATCCTACTTATAGTATCGTCCACAATCAAATGGCAACCCACGACCCGGACCGCCACCAACTCTGCCAGCACCAGTGCCCACAAATCAAAATTCAAATCGTATGTTGAATACATCACAAAGTTTTTGTGCACCAAATGGTGCTCCATCTGTTATAGAGCGTCGTAAGCATAAGGCACAAAACGGACAACAAACATCACATGTAAGAATAAATTTTAATTTCATTTATATATAATCCAAAAAAAAAAAAATTATTCTAAAATATTTATATATATTTCATAGACTTCCATGAATCATGTTAGCTCTAGCAATCAATCGAAACCAACAGCAACTGCTAAAGCTTCACTACATAGTAGTGCCGATAGTGGTTTCTCCAATGAACCGCCACCACAACCCGAAGTCGATTATTCTGATGAGGAACAAACTAGTCGTGTACCCATACGGTAAGTTTTGGTGAAACATAATGGTTACATGATCCATTCAATTAAATCAACAAATCTATGAAAATAAAAGTATTGGGATATATGGGATTTAAGCAAATTAGCTTTTTTTCCACGTTAAGTTTCTCCATCCTTGGAGTTAAAAAAATGTGTTTTAATACTCATATAATTATTCAACAGACTAAAATACATATCTGAATAGTGTTTTTAATATTATTTTCTTTTAGCAAAATTTACAGATATGAGCGATATAGATTTTTAACCTATTTGATTTAGAGAATTTCTATTAATAATTTTAAATAGACTTACCAAGTTTTTGATTCATATTGATTTTTTAACTAAATTTACATATTTTAGGCTAAAATCTGAAGATGTGGAACCAAAAATCTGTGTCCCTAAATTTTAATGCAAGAAAAGATTTACATATTATTTCTAAAACTAGTGTTTAATAATAATATAGTATTTTACCCTATATTACGAATATAATAATAAATCCAACATACTTTCTAAAAAAGGGTTTAATGATTAATTACTTCAAAACAGTAAAACTATTTTCTTTGGTTTCAGGCAATAATAATATTTATAATGGTATTGCCTAGCACTATTATGCTTATGTCCAGCAATTTTTCATGCATATCATATTTAATTATACAAATAATTAATATGATGTTATAATATAGTCTTACAGTAAATATAATATAGTTCAGTTCGGAATATAAATATTTTTATTGAGTTTGTGGAATGGAAGGTGCTCTTGAAGTCTTCAAATTGCAGAGTGATACGATTGATTAGAGTTAGATATACAAAAATGTAGGTCAAGATAATTAAATAACTATTTTTTAAAAAAATTTTGTAATAAACACTTAAATTAATAAATTTTAATTAAATTATATTATAAATTATATATATTATATATTACATATTATATTATAAATTATGTTAACTTATGAGATGCAAAAGAACATCACAATATTGACTTTGATTTATAAGATCTTCATATTCTTTATTTAATAGGTTTGTTGATTTAATTCATTATCAGGACATTTTCATTCTTTTATATTTAAAAAAAAACTTAAAATTTTTTGTAACTAACATTGATGTTGTTACCAACCATTTTTTCTATTTATTGCTAATATAATATTTTCTTTTTTTCTAATATTTTATTTTAATAAATATTTCATTTTTACATTTTAATTTTTATTTTTTGTTCCATGATTTCATCAAATTTATGTTGATCACCGACATTTTATGCCTAACCTTAATCCTGACTGTATTGCTAAAACCAACATTATTCCTGTAAAAAATGCTAAAACCTGTCCAAAATAAAAACGATCACATAAAATATCTGTTCCAATCGCACAGACGACGTGCTGACACAAACTCTCATAATCCACGTGAAGTAGCTTCCTGGACATTGAATCGTAATTTCCGCAACAGCGTGGATAGTCAGATTGATGATAGGAGTTTACACACACTCAATAGACATAGCAATAAAATGAGATACGATCTCATTGCAAGTGACGATGAAATATTGCATGCTTCGAGCGGTGGCATAAAACGTACTAAGTCATTTTGGAAATTCGGTGGGCGTCATGATGATATTTTAGCGGGTATGTCATTATGGCAACATCGTGACTTAGTAGCCGCACCAAATCTTGAAGAAATGCGTGATGAGCTCAACAATGAAACTGAACAGCAAGAGCATGATTTCGATAAAAATGCTACGCTCACAAAATCAAACTCAAATTCCAATTCCAATTCCAGTTCAACACATGAGAAACGACGTAAAGATAGCATTACCAGTATGGAAATGTATGACGACGATGAAAATATTTACGGTATGAGTCCGGTAATGCAACGCGAAAATATAGTACAGCAACGCAATTCTACACAATCCACAATGCAATCGAATTTCACACCCAAATCACGCATGAAAATTATGAAAACAATCGAAATTGATATAGAAAATCCAACGGAGAGTGAACGTTTAAGCACCATAAAACGAGGACAAAAGGAATATCAGAAAGAGTATAGAGAAAGTGGTATGAGCCAGCAAGCGGTCATGAGAAATTCGAATGGCAGAGAACAGGAACTTAAGAAAAATGCTAATATGAATATGCAAAATAGAAACTCTTCAAATAATGCAAGTAAAAAATTGAATGATATGAAATCGAATCATCATTCGACCCCACAAACAAAATCGCAACCACCGCAAAGTAGAGCTGTACTTCAGGATATGTTACCTTCTACAGAGGATGAAGCTGACAGCGATGATAATGGCACACTAAAAATGAGCGATGTTAATAATTTTTTTGATGATTTGCCGCGTGACAACACAGGCGGTGGTCTTATCATGAAAACAGTTAAACGTAAAGACATACTTAAACAATATTATACGAGTGAAGATGAATCGGATGATGCTGAAATAAAATCCACTAGTTCCGATCCATATGATTGCATTGTCATCAATGATCATTTAGTGCGCAAGGATGACAAACATAGACGTCAAATGCACAATTCTTATCAGGAACATCAAATGGAGTTTCAAACATTTCGTGCCACTACGACTTCAGCTTCACAAGGCGCAACATCAACCATGAATAAAAAGAAAAATGATAACAGAATTACAAATGGCGGCTCTTCCGCTACATTAAAACAGCAACAAAAACATAAGCAGCAACAACAACAACAACATAGAGAACAACAACAAGAACAGGAACGTTATATTAACAATAGTAACACAATGACACGCAATAGTAACGTAAATTCTACAATAAATACACCCACTGCCACAATATTGCCACGGACAAGGCTAATGAAGTGCAGTAATACAACAAGTATGACACTGGAACGTACACAACACAAGTCCAATAGGCAAAACGATACTAGGGAAAATAGTGCCTCTGTTAGTAGTGATAAGGATAGGCATTATGGTAAAACCTATGGACCTTGGTATGATTTTTGGGATCAACAGAATCAGCATACGTTAGTCAGTCAGAAATCAATGAGCAACTCAAAAATGAAATCGAACGGTGGAATGTAAGGAAGGTAATATCATGGAGTTTTTAGCATGGAGTTTACTAACGAGAATATAATATAATGCTGTCCTACTGCATTTTCTTACAAGTGAAGAAAGTGAATCTGTTGGACTACTAATAGAAACATAATAGAAATCTTCTAACTCGTTAGTCTATGTAACAAGTAACTTAGCATAAAATAACAATTATATTGAAATATAAATTTCTTAAATAACATTAAGTTGAAATCTAATCTTAACTGTACAGTGCTAATATTTTATACATATATAATAAATTTCTTCAATTTCAAAGCGATTAATACGATTTTATACTAAATTACATGTAATGTCTGTCAAGCAGTTTCTAAACTTAGCTTTTACACTTGACATATCTATCTTCCGATTTACACTTCATACTCATACATTATCGTTATGTCTTTAAAGAAAATCCTAATTTATTTTTGTATTATTTTTATTTTTAGAAAGGGTGGTATCTATCGGAACATTTATAAATTCTAAAATTTGAAAACTAAAACACAAGTATACATATATTATCGTTGATAGTATATAACATATATATACACATAAATAAATAATGCTGAAGTTTTATATATATGTACTTGTTTATAATTATATATCTTTTGTTAGTGAATTATATATATACTTTTGCTATGTAAATATAAATGTTTGTAGCCATTATTAAAAGCGCATTGCTATATAATATCTTATGTTTGTAATTGTTAATGTAGTTTTCTTTTTATTTCCATTAATGAAAATATTGTTATATATAGTATATTTAATGGTTATTGCTTATTCCATTTATATTCTTCTAATGAATATGTTTTGCAGTGCGTCTCAATTTGCCACAGTCAAACTACGTCACACCAAAACCAATGATCGTTCGGCTCCGATGATTTACAGGAGCATTAATAAATAGTTGCCGTACATGAAATGTTTTTCTATTATTTAATGTTTTTTTATTATTATAGTTCATTTAGGTTATATCACATATAATATTTAAGAAAACATATATATATATTTATATATATATAATATAATACAGATATATATATATATATGTATACATGCATGTATATGTAATTATATACAATTATTTTAAATATATTAACTTGTTTTTTAAATAAAGCAATAACTGTGTTTAATTTTTGGAATATACCCCTCAAAACCCCTCTTTGCGCCTTGACTAGATTGTTGTTTATCACTTCATCAGACTAAGCAATAATTGACCTGAGATCTGCGTACCTCCCCGAGGAGCCTGTAACCATTCGAGGATTTCATAACGCGGTGTTGGTAAGTCTGTCAGTTTTCGCAAATAATTTAAGGGCTCTATCTTTTATGTATTTTTTGATGGGATCAATCTTGATGTCCCTGAGGATGTTATTCGTCCTAATGTACTACACATTGTTATATGAAATATAAATAAACGAAACAAATTATTGTTATTAACATAATAATCTCGTACTACGACCCCTTGTGCCGTTTTTATGACTTTAGTATGAAAGATAAGTTAATTGATAACACTGTGTTTTTATATTTAAATTACTAACAAATTCGACTAAAATTTTCCATTAGGATTCTGTTTGAAGACGAGAAATCCGTATTCTATTGAGCTACATCACTAAGAATTGAAACAGGTGTCTATAAATTGATTCGTCACTAATTTCGGTTAACCAAAATTTGGAGAAAAGAAAAGAAGTTTTTCTTTATCCTACATTACCGAAAATTTAGATGCAAGAACTTAATTTTGTTTTAAGTAATAATAAAAGGGATTCAGATGTGTCACTGTATTCTTCTTCTAGATGACCTTAATTAGGATATGACGCTAAGAAATATTTTTTCACTTACCTATTACGTTTTAAACAATTCTGAAGTGAGAAATCAACTTTAATAGCATGGAATTGAAGCTTGTATCAAAAAATGAATCATAGTTTTTATAAATCAGAATTTAAAGGCAAAAAATCCATGTTCTGATTAGGATTACTTCAAATTGAAGTAATATGCTTCATCGTCTTACAGACGATGGTTCATTAAAGTTTAGTCCCAAGAAATTGCGCTATTAGCTTTTACTGTTTATTTATTGCTTTTATACATTACTTTTTATGTTTAACTTATTACTTGTTAGCTAATAATAAAAAAAAATTGATAATAATCTAATTGATATTAGGGTTCGCTTTTTAACACTAGTTGATCTAGCGATCAATTTAAATCTATTCTTAAAAAAAGGGCCAACTATTAGTTATAATATAGTTATTAATGTAAAAATTTTAAAAAGTATATGTTGAAATTAAGATAATTTATCATTGCGACACAGTAGGGTCCAAAATGGAACGAAATTAAATCTTTGTTTTGGTTTTAAACTTCCTACATTACTGAATACAGTAATAGATTCGATATTCATGTTAAAAATAATTAACACATTAGTTGTCAAATTAATTACAATACTAACAAAGGAGATGGAGTGTAACATTGTATTGCAAATTAGTTGCAAATCATGATCAGAAGCGTCTTCGTAATGCCCTCAAAACTCAATATTGGTGCACATTTGCCAGAAGTATGCTATCTACTGAATAAAAAAACAACTTAAATAAATAATATTTTAACTTATTTAAATTTTTTATTTTATTTATATTCTAAGCAAATTTAAAACTAGACTATATACAATATACTATTTTAATTTTAAGGTTGAAATATAAAAATTTAAATAGAACATTATGATACACTTAGGTTGCAATATATTCTACGGACTAAGAAAAATACTGCAGGATATATATGATGCAGCTTTAAATATTGTATTCCTTAACTAACATATTTCCCACTTAAAGCATTTTAAAATAGTGAATTTTGTTTCATTTTTATTTGGTCTTGAATTTTTCGCAATACTTTTACAGCATTTGGTTACAAATTGCATCGTTTGAACTAATCTCACGCGGACTTCTTTTCTTTTAGCGCGAATAGCTATTAGAAATTAACAGGGTTTAGTTATATAAGAATGCAAATTTATTTCTAATTGAGAAATCTAAAATATAGATTTTCTTAATTTTCACAATTTTATATTCCGAGTCGAAGCCTTTACAAGTACTTTCTTATTCTTTAGTTACAATATTTTGTTGCACTCATGTTACAAATAAGTAGACGAATAAATAAATAAGAAATTAAATAAATAAATAAGAGAGTAATTAAGAGAATAAATAAATAAATTAATAAATATTTAAATAAATTAAATAGCTAGAGGATAGTACTTCTTCGTCCCTGATTTCAACAACTAAATCACTTAAAATGAAATCTCCATGTCAAAGTTAATTGTGATGATATAAAAATAGAATAACAAATACAAATTGCAGTTATTGTATGGATATAACTGCGTCTAGCGTTTAACACACTTTCTAAAAAAGACTCCTATTCTCCGAAAATTCCCAGCAAAAGTTTGCCTGATATTACTCAGATACCCGCTTTTTAATAGGATGCCACGTCGCCGAAATGAAATCCATGTTCTCCATCTCTTATGGTGCTATAAAATTATAATAATAAATGCAATATTCAATTACGCTTGTTTGTGTCAGTACCACTTACGTTTTACATTTTATATGATCATTAAGAAAACTTTTTTGTCTGCTAACGCTTTTGCAAATTTTTTTAAATAAAAAAATGTAAATGACAATGAAAATATATGTCAACTTGCCGGCGAACGACGAAGAATTAAAAACTTTTTAACTGCAATTCCAGTACCAGAACATTCGCTCATAAAAATGAGTTTCATTTAAGTTTATCTATGGGTAGCAACTCTATTAACTGTTGCGACTGCAGCAGTCCTTTTATGTACACAAATAAATTTTAAAAATGTAATTTCTGAAAATAAAATCATTGATTCGAATAAAATTGTAAATGATATTAGATGTTATTTAATTACCCTGGAACAGTTTCCCTAATGAATAATTTTTCATGTTGCACCATATTTTACCAGTTGAAATGCTCTGCTGTTGTAGATTTTTATGTTCTACTAAGAACGCTTCTGTGAATTGTTTTTTCTATACCTAGTCCTCTAACTAATATTGATTGATATAATTATCATGTATATCTCGTCTACTGATAATTATATTTGTGGGTTTTATTAAACGAATAGAAGTATAATAATCCCAGCAAATACTGACTTCACGATTGCTTGTGGACATCAACCATAAAGGCCAAGCTTATATTGAAAGTTATTTTTCCTTTCTTGTTTTAAAATTTAATATCATATATCGATTAAAGCTTGATGAGTAAGTTTTAGCACTCCATTTTAAAGTTAGCAAGTATTTCATATTTGAAATTATGTATAAAGAACGATATATAAGAAACATATATGTATCCCAATTTTAATGAATCGGTTATGACGAGCGCAAAACTATTGTAACTGAAATCTATTACTACTTCACCGATTTATAATTTTATAAGTGCTATTATAATTATTACCAAAATTGTAAAAATATATTAATTTTATTTTACTTAATAAACAATTAACTGTCAAGCAAATGTAAACAAAGCAAATGTATTTACATATTTATGTTCACCATATGTTTTATAATAGTGTTGCCATATTCCAGTTTTTACATGACCAAATTATTATTTATACCAGTTTTCAGTTATTTGTTTTTGTGCACCAAAATTGATTTCTTAGAAGTGATTTTAAAATTTTTGAATAAATAATATATATATGAAAAATAAAATATTGCATTGGTAATATATAATGAATTCAATTTATTTGAATTATATATATGCAATGAACTTTACTTAGCAAATTAAACTTACTAAATAAGCAATGGAAACGTACTATGATGAAGAATAATTTTTGGATTAGCCACTAAATATCATATCTAACTGGAATAATCAAAAATATAATAGAAATAATTAATAATTGTTTTTTTGAATGATTAAATCATACCGAATTGAATTCGTAAATATCATTTCAAACAAAATTAGCTTCATTTTACTTGCAAGTTTTTATAACAACTTTCTGAAACAAAATTCAAAGAACTTCAATATAATAGCAAGTTCCAGCTGAATTATTAATTGCAATTTATGTACTAAAAATGTGTTATGCTAAACAAGTACAGTTATTCCAAAATGGACAGGTTTAATTGGTTTGTTTCACACATATAATATGGTCTAATATGAGGTACAAATATAAAATTAGAGATTTCGTTTATTGCAATCAATAAAAATGGTGAGTTTGAACACCTGCTTGAA